CATTAGTCCCGTATTGTCATTTAGTAATTTTACTCATATTATCTGAATCTCCAATGACCACAGTTTCGGAAAAAAAGTGTTTTACAGCAGGGTTTTACAGAAAATTAACAGCTTTACATTGTTGGGTGAACTACTGATATAGCTAATAGTAATAATAATAATAAAAACATCAAGGACAACCTTTATTTAAAGACAATTTAAGGTTTACAGTTTAAAAATGCTAAATACACTACCTGAAAAAAGTCTTGTCGTTAATCCCAGTCGTAAGAGCAACAAATCATAACTTGGCTTCTAGTTGATCATTTGGAAAAGTGGCAAAAGGAAGATTTGTCTGATGAATCATCTGTTGAACTGCATCCCAATCATCACTAATACTGCAGAAGACTGATTGGAACCCACGTTTCTCACAGATATCAGTCAAGTTTGGTGAAGGAAAAGTCATGGTTTGGGGTTACATTCAGTATGGGGGCATGTGAGAGATCTGCAGAGTGGATGGTAACATCAACAGCCTGAGGTATCAAGACATTTGTGCTGCCCAGTACATTGGACACCACAGGAGAGGGCAAATTTTTCAGCAGGATAGTGCTGCTCCTCATACTTCAGCCTCCACATCAAAGTTCCTGAAAGCAAAGAAGGTCAAGGTGCTCCAGATTTGGCCAGCCTAGTCACAAAACATAAACATTATTGAGCATGTCTGGGGTAAGATGAAGGAGGAGGCATTGAAGATGAATAAAAAGAATGTTGATGAACTCTGGGAGTCCTGCAAGAAGGCTTTCTTTGCCATTCCAGATGACTTTATTAATGTTATTTGAGTCATTGAAGAGATATATGAATGCAGTCCTCCAAGCTCATGAGAGTCATACACAATATTCAATATTTTTCCATCTCACCATGACTTTATATTCTGTACTATTAGGCGACAAGACTTATTATTAATAATATTATTATTATTTTATTATCAGAATTAACATTTAATGTTTTTATATTCACATGATAAATATATTTTGAATTATAATAGAACATTGTTTCACTCATATTTTAACATTTTATTTAAACAAAAAGAAAAAATTCTTGTCATTGACTCACAATAAAATGAATCAAGAAAACTTTGGTTTCAATGAGAACTTTTTGTTGTTGATCAAGAAATGAATACTTTTATTTAGCAGTGATAAATTAAGTTGATCAAAGGTGGCTGTATTTTCAACAATTAAACAATATTTATATTAACATTTCAGAGATTTTTTACAAAATATGGTAGACCAATAGAATGTCGTTATAAAAAATACACCCTAATAAAAGTAAAAAAAAAGTCTCTAAAAAACAAAAGTTTGTAATAGACAAGCGGAGCTCCTCCACATATGTTGGCCATCACTCAACACAACCTTGCTTGATAACTGCTGCTTTCCATCTATTATCAAATATTTTCCAGTGTAACGACAATCACCCCCTCTATGTCCCCGAAACGGAACAAAATCATGCATTTTCCATCGAGTCCCTGAGACATTTCCCCAGTTTCCCACCGCAGCCTTGAGAAATCTTCATCACTATGGTGTTGGTATTCTTGAAATAACAAACATTGTTTCAAACACGAGTGAAACAAGTGGAGACTAGAGCCCATCTGTCTGCAGCATTTACTATCTGTCTTGATTCCTCGCAGCATTAATCAGTCGGTTACCACACACCTGCGGAATGTGCATCTCTTTTACTAATTGCTAGTTTTAGGTGAATATTGGCCCGTGTGCAACATAGCTGGCATGTTGAGCTCTGGCGTTCAGACAGTCTTTTGGGTCTCTTTCAAATGTAACAATTAAGTTTTGTCTCATTCAGAGCTGGGTAAACCATGTGCAGACGCTACATTTGTTTTCACAAACCTAATTTGCAGCAAGTCAAAGAGGTAATTACTATATGCTTTGGTGTTTACAGCGATAAATAGAGTTTCTATAGAGACCATGTAGGTGTTAAGGAATGTGATGAAAATGTTATGTTTGTATGATTCTGGATCTGTAATGGTTAATTAACTAAGTAGATTGGATTGTATGAATCGTATAACATAAAATACCAGTAAGATTCCATATTAAAATGGCTATTAGTTCAGTTTTGGACTGCACTGGCTGTGATCAATGATATTGAATCACTGATAAAAGAATGAACCCATCAGTGTAAAACCTCTGACAATCAGAGTAGACTGGCCCCATAGGTTTACGATTTACTTTAAAGGAAAAATTACAATACAGTTATCAGCCGATCATACAGGATACTTATTTCATTTAATCCTAATTTAATTATTAATTTCAATTCATTGTAATTACAGTTATATTTTATTTTAAGGGGCAATTCCTGCCCAGTTGATTCCCAAGGGCTTTTTCCACATCACAAGGCAGTTTAATTATCTTAATCTGCGATGACTTTTATGCCAAATATTTAAGTTTTAATGGTTTAATCCATTACTTTATTCAAAAATATATATCAGACCACTTTAAACTACAACAAATAAAAATAAACACTTAAAAGGGTCATGGAATATCTTTGTATGGTTGTACGGTTCTCTAAAGTCAGCATATAATATTATCAATATTTTTACATAAAAAAACAACACATCATGGTTTAGCAGAACTAATTTTTAATTTCTAATTTTAGGCTGTGTCCGAAATTGCTTACTACTCAGTAGGTACTGCATTTTGAATTTAAACGTACGACTCGGCCATTAGAAAAGTACGTCTTATACAGTATAATTGTGAGTATGAATGGAATCCGGATGTACTACATCTGCTGTTTTTTCATGGTCACGGTGACCTACCTGCGTCAGTTGTGTCAAAGAGCTTAGAATGACCAAGAGGCGACACTCAATTGAACGTTCCATTGCAACAGCAGCGCCCAGCAACAGCCCCAGATTCCGCCATTTTGGAGTGAAAGCGGACTGCTGTCCATTGGATCTTATTGCTGTCGCGATGGCGAGCATCTGCTTTGTTTTTTTATTTATTTAATTTAAAAGTGCATTGAAGCTGAGATACAACATGTCAGACGACAATACAAACCTTACTATCACAATCATCAGCACTTTTCATAGTTTATTTTACAGACTTATAATATGCTGTTGTTCTATTGGAATTTTCAATCCAAAATGGCCACTGCGCCATCTAGTGGCTGTTTCCCAAATCCCACTAGAGTGTCGCCTCTTGGTGATTCTATGGTCTTTGGTTGTGTTGCTTCACTCCCATTCATGAATTATCTCGCAGGGCATCAAGGGATAGCGCAGCGTGCACGGGATGCGCACTTCAGAATCTCGCCGGATGTAGTAAGTCATCCAGGTACTTCTCGCATACTGATTTTCGAAATCTATGAATTTAGACATAATACTCTGCTTGCGTACTGATTTTAGCGTTCTGCATAGTATGGAAGTATGTGGTTTCGGACGCAGTCGAAGGCTCATTTAAATGCAGCCTCAAAATGCATCTTTTGTTTCCCAGGTAATGAAGTGCACAACCAGTGCATCCTTTGCGGTCTCAAAGATCCCAAGATTCATTGTGCGCTGATAACGGCAGAATTAAATGTATGAATAAGGTTTAGTTTTACTGGGATATCTAAACATGTAAAAAAAAACAAAAAGAGTTTGACGTGTCTTACCAAAAAGTTTTTTATAGACAGTTTATATTATTATGTGTACATGTATGGATCAAAGGACATATATTTCCAGCTTAAACATTGTTTGGCCTCCAGATTGTGTAAAATAAGTTTTGAAATAATGTTGGAAAAAAGTCATTAAAAATTTTATCACTGTTTATTAACGGCAGCTATTATGGTCGCTAGGTGATGAGTTCTGTCCTCTATAGGCTAGATCTTCTCATTTCAAAACGCTCGGACTTCGAAGGATTCTCTGAAATGAGACACAGCTATATTTTAAATAGGTGTGATGAGGCAGAGCTTATTCACCTCATTACATCTTAAAGTAAAACATTTCAGAACCTGTCATTTTGGCAGACTGCTTTTGATATAAGCTGTTTTTAGAATGACTGATTTCTGAGGTCTGAAACTATACTACTGTGTCCTCTCATATGTCAAAAGATCCAGCCAATTTTGGTTTCATATTTTATGACCACTTCAAAATTGTATGTATATTATAAAAGATAGTTATACCAGAACAGATCTGCAATACTGTGACAAAAATATAATTGTTCTTGATTGTGTTACATTGATTATTAATGTTGATTAACAGAACACATTAAAATGCCATACTCAGACAAAACTTGATGTTAATTATAGTGCAGGTTATTTAATAACTTACGTTATAATCTATAAAATAAAGTCAAATGCCCAGGACGCTCTAGGTTTTTGGCGTGCAACATTTTTAAAAACAGTGCAACAGTTGAAATACAATTTGTAGCATCTTTTTTTAACCCCACTAAAAGTATAAATAAAATATTTAAATATCTAATCTACTCCAAATTATTGTTAAAAGAATGAAAAGCATAGTGCGACCGATGCTTAACATGCATTTTTATATGTTTATATATGTTATACTCCCGTGATTGGTCTCCTGTGAAGTCTCAGAGCTCCAGAAAGTGTGCAAAAAGAAATCTGGTGCAACATGCTAATCTGAATATAATGCCACAAACGGACGCACCTTATTCATGTTGACATTTCACTTTAAATGTGGTAGCTAATAATATTAATAGTTTAGTTTAATTGTGCAGAAGCATTTACTGTTTTTTTTTTTGTTCATTCTGACCACAATTCTGACCATAAGCCACCTTGGTCAGTTAGTCATAATCAAATAAATCTTTTGATTTCTGTTAGAAAAAAACAAAATGTCCTACAAATGAACTGAAGTCCTATATCTAAAATATGTAAACAATCGACATAAGCCATTTGATTTACAAGTACAATAGTGTCAATAAAGTCAAAACATTATTATTATTATTATTATTATTATTATTAAGTGGTTGTTTCCTAAAAAAATAAATGCATATCAGCTTAAATTAGGAGCAGAATCTGTAATATGCAATGTATGAATGTTTAATGACTGTGAATGAGCTGCGCCGGGTGTGTAACACCCAGCCTTGTTCAATCTTTCAATCAATGCACTTGTGGATCACACAAACACATCATCCAGCACAGAATGAAGGTCTTTCATCAGTCCATCTCAGCAGCAGGATAAAAACAACAAAAACAACAAAACAGGGTCACTTCAAGGGCTTTCTTATCCGCAGCTCGAGTTTTGATGTAGGTCAGTGTTAAGGGAGTTAATTGTTTGATATATTTAGAGCAGCTTTTGATTTGCGTTCTATAAACACAGCCGTCGCGACCCTCCCTTTGTCCCACAATCCCCTGAGATGAAAATTATTTATCAAACTGCACAAAACTCTGAAACAGCAGTTAAAATAAACAATTAAATAGAATTGTACAATATATACACATATAAATGTCCAAGCCTCGTGGTAGGACAAACTTTAAAAGCTGTTAGAAACACTGCAAACTTTTTTCTGTTTTTGGAAAAGCTGAACGGTCCTGCATGGAATGGCAAGACATTTTATTTTATGATTTATTTAAAAAAATAAAAACCAAGGCATTCACACTAAGGTGCCCTTGGTGGTCCCTCAATGTGGACAAGGCATCACACTCACTGGGTGAACGATCAACTGTCCAGCCCAAAGTTTGTTACATTGTACAGCTCTGGACGATAAGGGCGTCTGTGACGGGAGAATTTCACCCTGATGTAGTCTCCAAGTTCATCAAGGCTCTGAAGTACCTGAAAGGGCATATAAAGAAATGTGAGGCTACAATATGTCTGAATAAAACATTTCTAAAGTCAAATTTAAGCACTTTCTACGTACATTTTCAGACTTTTTCAGCACTTTACAAGAATGGAAAGTGATTTATTTACATACATATGTATTTCCTGACAAAAGTCTTGTTGTCGACCTCAATTGTAAGAGCAACAAATAATAACTTGACTTCTAGTTGATCATTTGGTAAAGTGGCAGAAGGTAGATTTTTCCAATGAGTCATCTGTTTAACTGCATCCCAATCATACTGTAGAAGACCTTTTGGAACTTGCATGGACCCACATTTCTCACAGATATCAGTCAAGTTTGGTGAAGGAAAAGTCATGGTTTGGGGTTACATTCAGTATGGGGGCGTGCGAGAGATCTGCAGAGTGGATGGTAACATCAACAGCCTGAGGTATCAAGACATTTGTGCTGCCCATTACATTACAAACCACAGGAGAGGGAAAATTTTTCAGCAGGATAGCGCTACTCCTCATACTTCAGCCTCCACTTTAAAGTTCCTGAAAGCGAAGAAGATCAAGGTGCTCCAGGATTGGCTAGTCCAGTCACCAAACATGAACATTATTGAGGATGTCTGGGGTAAGATGAAGGAGGAGGCATTGAAGATGAATCCAAAACATCTTGATGAACTCTGACAGTCCTGCAAGAATGCTTTCTTTGCCATTCCAGATGACTTTATTAATAAGTTATTTGAGTCCTGGCAGAGATGTATGGATGCAGTCCTCCAAGCTCATGGGAGTCATACACAATATTGATTCCTTTTCCACGGCACCATGACTTTATATTCCATACTGTATATTATTTTTGTTTAGTGACAAGACTTTTGTCTAAGCAAAGTCCAACCTTACTGTCCTAATTAAAAATCAAGGCATGATCATATTATATTTAGGTAAAATAAGCGTAATCTAGAGGCCTTTGCCTTTCATACAAGCCACTTCTGATACCAAATGATCAACTAGAAGTCAAGTTAATTTGATGTTCCTAAAACTTGGATAGGCGACAAGACTTTTGTCAGGTAGTGTAAATACTTCATCACATATCAGATGTTATTTATTATAATTTTCTATATTCTATTTTCTCAAAAACCAACACTGAATTACTCTTATTTACCCTCAAAAGTAATTTACTTGTATCATAAATGTGCCATCTTTCATCTTAAATTGCAATTTTAATTCCATGCACTGCATGTAATCTCCATGTATTTTGTTCTCTATCACTGTTTAAGCAAAGGGCAAAAGTACAAAATGCAGCCACAGATGCCGGAGTTGTCATTACATGCAAAATCAAAAAGATTTTAAATGTAAGATTATTTTATTATTATTGGTATTACCTATTTAATAAGATGAATTATTATAAATGTAGTTTCAAGCACTCTAGCAAAAATTTTATCATTTATCAAACCTTAAAAACACTATATTAAAATTCAAGCAGCTCTATAAACCCTGGAAATATGTTTACTTCCATGGCACTATTAAAGATCCAGTTTGAGACATTTGAAGATCTGTTTGAAGTGGACCGGCTTTCACTTTTGCTCAGAATGCCTATGCTTAACTCTAGTTTTACATTTAAGAGACGTTTAAGCCAGTGTTTCCCAATGCTGTTCCTGGAGGCACACCAACAGTAAACATTTTGGATGTCTTCCTTATCTGGCCCATTCATTTCAGGTCTTGGAGTCTCTTCTAACAAAGTTGATGAATTGAATCAGGTGTGTTTGATTAGAAAGCGTTTGAAAATGTGTATTGTTGGTTGGGCTCCAGGAACAGGGTTAGGGAAAGGAGGTTTTACACAACATGGTTTTTAACTGAAAAAAGAAAAAGAGAAAACGATATGTTGGCAGCTTATTTACATGACATCGGGGTTTTAGTGACTGAAACAGATAACTTTAGGGATAACTTTTCTGGATTTTTTTTCTAAAATGGTAACTGTCTCTACGTAAACTAGAAAAACACAACATTGTGAAAACGCTGATGTCATGCGCATGTTTATTATGTGTATAGACCTTTTTTCTTCGTTGCTGCCGGGAGGGCACCACAGCGACCGGTGCCTTTTGGTAGGATGCTTAGAACTTCCATTTAGAAGTGTCGTCAGAGAGAGCAGCGTTTTATCAACAGGTAATTCTCGATCCGAAAGTAGGTGTCAATACTGTTTTGAGTTTCTTAGGGAGTGTTTTTGTGATGCACAACATTGATTTTGAAAGATGTGTTTTAAAGCCGATATGCGGCTGTCAGATGCGGTTTAAGTGCAAGAGGAAAAATGTTCTCCTAATTCAGCGTCTGCTGTCAGATACGAAATACAGTTGAAATATTTGAAATACACAAAAATAAGTTGAAATACAGTCTGTGTTCCTGATTTGTCAGCTGTTATACTGTGCTCAGCGGACTCTTCAAGAGACACACACATCACTGCATTATATAGAGCAAACCATATTACTGGCATCAGTTAACAGGTTTGTAAGTCATGCAATTTCCACAAATGACCAATAAAAGTATGTTACTGATGCTATGTTGGCTGATTTGCATCTTGATTCTAATCAGTTTATGTAGTTAGTTTGTATTGTGTGGTGTCTACCATGGTAATAATATCTTTTCTGTAACTTTAAAATGTCACTTTATTTTCACTTTGTGTCACTCATTCATTCAATGTGTTACAGTACGCGTGTACAGTAATTACATTCGCTTGGGTTGATTATAGATTTGAAAAAAAGAGAGAAAATGTTGACTTTAGCGATGACCGGGCTTAATTTAAACAGCTTGACATACCGTCTGACAAATGAGGGTGAAATGACTTGCAGCAGTTGTTTTCCATCCCCAATAGATCACATTTTTGAAATAATCAGTCCAGGAGGTGGTGCTGATCAACAGCAGTATTAGTTCAAAGATGTTAAAAGCAAGTATAATAAATTAAAACTAAAGTTTCAAAGCTGTCCAAATGTGACTCTTTACATGGATCAAGCTGCTGTCTGGAAATTCGAAGCATCCTCCTTACGCCTACACACAAAGTATAATGGATAATTTTGCGTTCTATGAAAAAATGTCTATAGGCATGTGTGAAAAAAAAAAGAGTTATAGAGTACATTTGCTCACATCTAATCTTAGTTGAAGTTCACTTTTAAAACAAAATACTATTAAATGATATGCTTTTCAGTTCCCCAAAATGAATGTTTTTTTTAATACTGCACATTATAATAAATTTATTACTAAATTCACTTGCTGCATTCAAAAAAACTGTAATTATTATTTATCAAATAAAATTTTTTCTTTGCTTTTACAAAAATATAACTTTTTTTAAGGTTATCAGTTATAACTCCAACTTTAATTTTGTCAAAATTAACATGTGTGAATGTTGAATGCATCTAAAAAAAAATAAATAAAAAAAACTTTAATTTAAGGTTTCTAAAGTATTTATTGCATAATGTCAAGCAATGTCTGAATTTAAAATATTTTTTGTCGCACATTTGACTCCAATAATTGTCTGAATTTAGAATATGACTTTCATTTAAAGTTTTAAAAGAGTTTTTAAAGATTTTAGCACTATGTCAAAAAAATTAGTTCAGCTTAGATAATTTGGTCTTTCAACATTTTATTAATAATTTTTTTTAACAGTGTTCAAGTACAAAAAAAATAAAAAAATCAGCTCTTTTGACTTATGGTAGAAACCAGTAAACTAGTTTTCATTAGTAGATTTCTCTAGAAAAAAAGCTGTGAGAAAAAACAAACAAACAAAGCTGCACTAGCTATGATGGATTTGTTTGAGATGGAATGGTAACAATAATCAATACATTGACTTATCACACAACACATGGACATGCCCTCAATCATTTTTTTGTGATGCAATATATATCGCTCATACATAAAAAAAACAATTATAGCCCATTTTAGCTACAACATCTCTACCTCTGTTGGATGAACACTTCAGTATTTACAATAACTTACTATAGTATATTTTCATGTGAGTGTTTGACAGTTGAAAATAGCCTCTTACTTTTTCCTTTGCACATTTCTGTTAACATTTATTATTATTTATTTAGGAAATGCATTTTCACATTCCGATTTTAATGCTAATTATTACATTGTTAAAAAGACTATAATTTAATGAAATATTCCTAAAAACAAAATATTCTTTGGAAGAGTGTACTTGCATTGTGATGATATTGTCATTTTGGCTTTATATAATGAGTGGCATAAAATTATTTTAAAATGACAATAATATTGTTAATGGCAATATATTTTAGTGCGAAATATAATACAACAAAAAACAGATATCCTGACAGGCCTAGTTTGAGATATAAGGTGCTTATTACCTTGTTGAGCATGTCTCTGGTGTGAGCAGCAGACACACAGAATCGAGCTCTGGCTTCTGTAATAGTAGTAGCTGGAAAACCAACAACAACCACACCGATCTTCCTCTTCAACATGGCCCGTGAGAACGCTCTGCGGGCAGACAATTAAAACCCATAATGATGATGATCAGCCCAAACGTATAAATGAAGTTTAGAGACACACACACACACACAGACAAACATATGTCTGCCAAACCATTAAATGTTCTAGAACAGCTTGCATCTTCAAGTTTTGTATTGATATAATGTCATGATTGGTGTTATAAAACAGGGAGAGGTTTTCATGCTAACCTCGAAAGCTGCAGATTCCTTTTTAATTTGCTCGTTTCTTCCAAAACCATTAATGCATTCAAGTTTCCAGACATCGTCAACACTCAAAGTATGACAATCATCATTACAAACCGAGGTTGTTATTAAATATCGCACGCTCGTGAAGCAGTTATGGCCTGTCTTTCAGCATTCAGAGGAGGGTGACGCTGTCCCATTCAGAGTTTGCACTGTCTGCTACCTTTCCTCGCCCTTTGAGCGAAGGGAAATCCATTGTAAACCGCACAGCTGGACTGTCATTTGCATTAGCCAAGAGGGAGAAAAAGAAGTGGATTGACAAGGCAAAGGGAAAGGTATAATGGAGGAGGAAAAGATTGAGAGCGAGAGGAGGAGAGAAGGCCTCCACTTTGTCAGCGGCGAGAGAACAGAGCGGCGACGGAGAGTGAAAGCTGGATTTAAAAGGCCTCACAGCTGCCGTGGTCTTTGTTGCTGTGCCAGGAAGCTGTTATCTTTGGAGGAGTCTGAAACGCCTGTGCGGTGATGAGCCTCTCGCATGTCATGTTTTCTTTCTGCCTCTCTTGTTTTTTGTTTTTTTTCACTGATTCATGGATCAACCAGACCATCCAAGATGGCCACGGTCCAACGTCTTCTTGAAAAGACCACATCGCCTTCTTTGGAATGACCAGTGGAGATGACTGGAGCTTTTGTTGGGGTGTCTTCAAGCAGTCAGTACATTTTCCACATGGCATTCAACGCTATCACCTTTGTAACCCGATGTAAGCCTCGCATTGTTGTTTTACTGGCAGCCCCGAATGTGGGCAGGTTCACAAGTTCAAAGGAGGATTACTATAGTGTCCAGACATTGGAAACTGTCCTTAATCACAAAGACGACGCGCAGACCAGGAGAAAAGCTCACAAAGGAACGTAATGCTTTGCTTCTTGCTGGCTGAGCGATCTAAGGGTTCTCAAATGGACTAAATAGGGGTGTGTGCAAATGCGAGACTGGAGATGCTGTTGTGTAAACTGCGCATTAAGGGGTCGGTAATCTGAATGTCTCTTACCCGACTTTCCCTGGTTGATATAGCAGGAGCGGTATCACCGGAGAGTCTTTGTTGCCGTAAATGATGAAGCCCATCTCTTTCAGCCGAGATCTGAAGTAGTGCGTGTTCTCAGCCAGCTGTCGAACTCTTCGTTGGCCTGTGGGGGAGATGCAGACAGAGGCGTCATTCGGGAGAATTTGTTAGCTTACATTGGAAAAGAAGAGACGTAAATGGGAGGCTAGAATAAAGTAAAGGTCGTGATTTACAACGGAGCAACCGTAGGTCAAAAGGAAAAGTGCAAATAATCTCAAAGGGCTCCTCCGCTGGGACTGGATTTGAGGGATTTGATTGCTCTAAGGATGAGAGGGATGCAGCTTATGAAAGTCTCAGTTACCGTAGATGTACTGTGTTTATTTATAGGCCGATTACTATGATGTCAGCGAAACTTTATAGGGATGTTTTTTGAACCAGTGAAAGAAGTTAAACAGAAGATAATCCAAATAGGAAAAATCGCAATGATCGGAGCAGAAATACTATGAAGCATGTGAGTGAAGTAGAGTTGTTTGATGCCTCAAGTGAGGCCTCCATTTACAGTATGTAATTGGGTTGTCACGATACTAGAATTCGGTACCAATCTATACTGAAATTTTAGAAACGTCCAAACATTTGATCGCTGTTGAGAACGTTCTTAAACACTTCTGATTTGCCATTGTGTTCACGTGCTTAACAAAAATGACTGCGATTGGCCATGAAGGTCATCAGATCACCTAACTCACTGCTGTTTACTTAATGTAACCACATATACAGGGACACTGGAGCATTTTAAAGCCGTGATTCATCAGTTGTTTGCTCGTATGCAAGCTCATAGACAAACCAACTGATGGACGTTGCTTTGAAATGCTCCAGGGTCCCAGTATCTGTGTTTACTTCGTAAACTGCAGTGAGTTTGGTGAACTGATGACCTTTACGGCCAATCAGTCCTTTCTGTTGTGCACATGAACACAATGTAAAATCAGCAGTGTTTAAGGACGTGCTCAATATAGTGTTGCACGATACCAAATTTTTGACTTCAATACAATACCTAAATGAAATATCACAATACCGATAATAAATCGATCCAACACCATCATTTTTTTTTCTTTAAAAATATTATTAATTAACTTTGTGTTTGCCGTCAGCTGAAACCAAGTAGAACAATTTTTAAAAAGGAAAAAAAAAAATGGAAATAAAAAGTACTTATATTCGTGGGCTTGCCATGACTGTCAGCAGCACGCGCAAAATAATTCCAAATTTCACTTTCGTAATCAGCTCTGTACACAAGCTGAGCTGTGGGGGTTAACTGTTCACAGCTCAGCGCACACACTCATTTTGCCGTGGAAATGTTCGCCCCCCACATAGCCCCCTATTGATGAGCATTTGCAACTACAGCTGTCACTTAAAAGTACCGGTACAAAAAAATGCAGAATTGTATCGTTTTGAGATCCAGGGTTTCACAATACTTTTTCAGTATCTGTACATTGTGCGACACTAGCTCAATGGCAAATCAGCAATGTTTAAGAACGTGTTCAACAGCGCTCAAATGTTAGGGGGAAATGGACGTTTTTAAAATTTCAGTATCAATTGGTACCGAATTCCAGTATCATGACAACTCTAGTATCTAACACTTATGGTCCACAGTGAAGTTTGCTTAAATCTGGCTCTGAAATTAAATGTCTGCAATGTGTCTTTGTTTTTGATGAATTTTTCAATTACAATTTTTTAAGAGTTATTATATGTTTTCCATTAGGGCAGTGGTTCTCTAACTTTTTTCATCAAGTGTCACCTCAGAAAAAAAAAATGTCTCTTCAAGTACCACCATAATGAGCAGTGTTGAAGTACAGTAGCGTAGTAGGCCCAGTAAAGCAGCTACAGCTTTGTACAGTTAAAAAACGAGGCAGATTAATTCCTATTAATAAGAATACTATTGTCAGCCAATTTAAACATTATAAATAATTTGAACATTAACCCTGCACTGTACTTATATGTAAAAAGGCAACATTTAAATTAGAATGCGCTTTTAAAAGTTAAAAAGTATAGGATACAATAAAAAAAGTCTGCAAAAACAATTTATTTGTTGAATTTAAACAAACAAACAAACTGAATTTAGAAATGTTCAACTTAATTAGTTTAAATTCAGCTCAAATAAATTGTTTACGACCTCTTAACTTAAAAGAATGTATTAAATCCAAGGAATCTTCTTTAAATATTTTTTTTCCAGTATACTGGTCTTAAAAAGTAAGAAAAACTCCTGTACTTCTGTAAAGTATTAACATAGTAGCTTATTTATCAGCACCTGGAAACATAGGCTATATGTCATCATATTCATTTATAAATCTTTTTAAATATATTTTTTCAAATATATGTAGCATGTACATATGACTCCTCCACATACCACTAGAAGGATGCCCGCGTACCACTCGTGGTACACGTACCACTGTTTGAAAACCACTGCTTTAGAGCAATTTATTGAATAAGCTGGCAGAAAAAAATGACTGCCAAATTGCAGAGCTTGAGCAAACTTATCTGCATCTCTATATGAACATGCTTTTTTCTGCTTTTTCTCACCACATTGATTTTTCTTGTTTATTTTGTAAATTACATAGAAGTCACATATTTACATATTCATTAGTGAACATTAGTGAAGTATACAGCTGCTCTATGTCTTTTTTTCTCACCTCTATTCAGAAAACTTTGCCGTGAGTTTTTTTTTATACAAATAATAAATAATGGTATTCACATTCTCTTGAACATTTTACTCCTTCTTCGTCCTCATATATTATGTTACATACAAGCTTACAAGTGACTAGAAAAGGCAAGTGAATGAAAAGGATATGGATGGTGACTACAGTATGATTTTGATCAATCCAAATGTTTTCGTACAGTCCAGCAAAACAAAAATATACAGTTTTGCTGTGTTTTCTTACAACATGTCCTATGTTAATAGGATTATTAGTTAGTAGGCAAAAAGGAGACTGTCTTTTGAACAAATTACCATTGACCCTTGCACTGATAAAACTGCATCTTAAAACTAGATTTAAGCAAAGTCTTAGGACTCTATTTTAATGATCTAGGTGCAAAGTCTAAAGCGCATAGCGTAAAAGCATGAAGGGTGTGTTTGAATCCAGTTTTGCTATTTTAAAGATGGAAAAATATGATTTATGCTGTGGCGCATGGTCCAACGGGGTTGTGCTTATTCTCTTAATGAATTATGAGTGTGTTTTGAGCATAATATGCATTAAACCAATCAAAGTCTCATCTCACATTGTACGCTCTCCACTGAAGACATCCTTTAGCCTACATATTTCATTTTGTTTGTTAAGCACAAAGATTTGTTTCAAACCTATTTCTAAATTCAGTTCTTATTTCCAGCAAACAAATAAATAAACAATAATAAGGAAGTGTGGTCAAACAAATGAGTTATATTCAAACACACGTCCTACTCTTATGATCCATATAGTGACGCATAAGTCTCCAAAACCTGACAGATAAAGAAATCTAATATTGTTTTTATTAAAACAAATATGTATGAAATAAATTGTACAGCTAATAATAATAACTTTATACAAATGCATGTTTCCATGAATAAACTGAAAAAAGCCCCCCATTTTTTTATATGTAAAGACATTTGTGTATTAGTACATTCTGTGTGTATTAAGCATTTGGACCTGCACAGACGTATGACTAACATGCTCTGCACTGGACTTTAGACCAGCTTTTAGTTGGTAAATGGCTCAGTCTATTTCAGTTCCTCAAAATAACGCGCCAACAATGCACTTTAACACACCTCCTTTAAAGACCGGCACACCCATGAGTCCACAAATTGGCGCAAATGAATATGCTATTTAAACAACGTGGCACAAAACGTGAAAAGTAGGGTTGTGCTGGTCTGAAAATTGCAACAAATCGTGTCATACATGTCTTGCACCTTATTGCACCAGGTGTATGATAGGGCCCTTAGACTATTTACTAAACATATAAAACATAATTTGTGCAGAACAGAATTTATATTCATAAGCTTCACTTTTTATGACAGTCTCCCTATGGTTGTGATGATTTTCATATATTTATTGAAGCTATTTTGTGTAAACAACAAGGGTTTGATTCTGGTGTTTATTTAAAAATACACTGAAATGTCGTCACACTAATTCTGTAGTAATTTGTCACACTCTAAAAGTCTGTGCCCACTTTGCGGTAGCACCAATGCCAAAACAGACCATGTCAGGCAAAGTCTGCAAACCATAGTACAAATATGTCTACAAACTAGTCCTAAAAACAGCTGGCACAAAGACAGCCCCACTTATTTTCCAATTCTTTTTGACTACACTGTTTGCCTGCAAGTTTCATAGTTGTTCTCTTTAAATATAGTTGAAAACACTGGGAAAATGGCCAAGGAATTGCAACATAATGTAGTGGCATCAAGCCATACCACCAGCAGTCCCTGCTCTTACAAAACAGCCTTAGCAATACCTCAACTTTAGACAAACTAGAACGTATGCTTTATTCCCAATCAAGAAGAGTTTACAAACAACTATTAGTTCCCTTTAGGGATACCAGCTGATTGTATGTGAAAGACTAGAAAAGGGGCCCAAAAGAGGAGATGGGAAATGACATCATCCGTTCTGCCGTTCAAATCCCATGATGGCTCTTTTAATAGCCCCTCATTAAGACCATTAAGTAGTTAGGTGAGATAGAGCAGACCCATTCATAAAATAATCCAAAAACATAGTAACAAACAAAAACAGGAAGAAAACAATCAATTCTTTTAGACATTAAATGTTTTCGATACCTTCATAGGCTCTCGAACCTCTTGAAAACGCCTCTTAATGTGTGTGTGTGGAGTTGTTCGATGTAAAAACAGTACCAGCTGGTTTTGTTTTGTCAGGCTGAATGGTAGACAAATTTCATTCTTTGCCAAGACACTGTTGGCTTGAACGATAGGATACGATGGATTTGGCACACAAACGGAGGCTGGGGGTAAACTGAGAAGCATGGAGTCAGATGAACAAGGTACCATGCGGTTAGCGGTAGCTTAGCGGTTGAATTTTGGTGGTTCGAGACATAAGGAGATAATTCTAACAACTTAATGCAATTGGAGACACATCAATAACTCAACGGACACCAATACTTTTCACTCTCTGTCTTGTTCAGTTTATGTCTACCTCCTCTATCTTTAATGGTGTGAATCATGCCGTTCTGGTGGGCTGGCCAGCTCCACCTCCAGCTCTCTTTGGCAGCACCGCCTAAGCTTTTTGGAAAACAACAGCATGTTTGCATATAATTACCTGCGAAGCGATTGGCAGGTATTTCAAAAGGAGGTGTGCTGTAAAGCCAAGCTCTAATGACCTCATGTCAGCAGAACGAATACAACCGCTGTTAACTTTCATTACATTAGAAAGCCTTCAACAGAAACACTGGCAGACGCTGGAAACAGCAGGTGAAGCTCAAACCAAACAATTAGTCATGGATGTGGTACAAGTTTAGATGTGGCAGGTCTTCTGTTCTGATCAAAATGGAGCATTGTAAAGTGAACTCTCAGGCTCTGCTTACACTGGTAAAAACTACACTGGTGCTTACACTGGTGCTTTTGAGCATTCTCAAGTGGATGATGGTAAATTTAGGGGATTTTTTTTAAAGGGGACCTATTACACTTGTTTTTACAAGATGTAAAACAAGTCTTTGATGTATGTGAAGTTTCAGCTGAAAATACCACACAAATAATATTTTATAACTCTTTAAAACTGCCCTTTGATCCAATTGTACATTTTAGGTTTAAATTAAAAAAAGGGTAGAGCTACAAATGCCTGTGTGTCAGCATAATGACAGCTTTAGATGCTGTTTATGCTAATGAGGGAGCCATGTCCATAGGTGGTCAAAAAGCATTAGATTGCTGGCATTTTGTAGACATTGACTACATTTACATGGATATCAGCAATCTAATTATTAGATTATTAGCAATCAAACTATTATTATTATTATTGCCTTATTGTGAATAAGACAAAAATATGATTAAGGTGTTTACATGAGTTGCTTTTTGAATGTTCCTTTCATGATACTGTTTTACATGTTAAAGCACATTTTTTATTTTTATTTTATTATTTTTATTTTCTCTAGAATTTAATGCAATTTCTGGTGTTTCATTTTTAATTTGTCGACTTTAACTGCAGCTCAGCACTTTCACCTTCATTCAGGAATATTTCAGGCATGCCCCCCAAGAGACTAACAAGATAAAATGGCATTATTAATGTCCATGTAAACGTACTCAATGTGTTATTGAAGCAAGGAGGCCAGACGAAGTCATAATCGAACGTTTGTTTTGGAAGCAGTAAAAGAGCACTTAATCTTTTATAATGCTGATTCTAACGTAATTGTACTTAGTTTTGCATGTATTGTAGCAGAAATAAAAAGTGCTGCCCTCATTGTTTTGTTCATACACTCTAAAAATAACTGTTTAGCTTTACTATAATAACAATGGAACCATAACAACATTAAATATCACTTAAGTAGTGAAGAAGAGAACCTAAATAAATGCTTAAAATGTAAAAGACCTTTCTCATTTTATTTATTATATATTTTAAAGCACTTTCAATCTAATGAAATGAATTTCTACATTCTATTTCAATGGTTTAAAAATATGAATATATAATAATGTGTATGTAGTATATCTGCTGTAATAGGAATTCATCAGAAATAAAGGAAAGGGAATACGGTATATATGTGATCCTGGACCACAAAACCAGTCTGCACAAGTGGCTTTATTTGATTTTATATATACATATCAAATAAAAGCTGAATAAATATGCTTTCCATGCATGGATTGGTGAGAGAAGACAATATTTGTTTGAGATGCAACAAAAGGTCTCAAAAAAATCTAAATGATGAGAATGAGTTTTCAAAGTTGTCCAAATGAAGTTCTTAGCAATGCATATTACTAATCTAAAAATATATATATATATATTTGATATATTTACTGTAGAAAATGTCTTCATGGATATTATACTTAATGTTCTAGGCAAGGCAAGTTTATTTATATAGCACATTTCCAAGTATAAGGAAATAAAACAAAGAATAAAATGGTTAAATTAAAAACTAAAAACATTAAAATGTGTTAAAACAGGTTTAAAAAAATGAAAAATAAAAAATTCACAATAGTGCAATCTGTCGGACATAGCACAGTGCTCATTCAGTAAAGGCACAGCTAAACAGATGGGTTTTAAGTGTTGATCTGAATTCGCCTAACGTTGGAGCACATCTGATTATTTCTGGAGGCTGATTTTAGCAGTGGGGGGCTGAAGGCTGATTCACCCTGCTTTGACTGAACTCTTGAAATTTCTAATTTATTTATTGATCTGAATGATCTGTTTGTACTGAATGAGCATATCTGTAATGTATTGAGGTCCTAGGCCATTTAGTGATTTATAGACAAGTAATAATACTTAAAAATCTATTCTGAATGTAACTGGGAGCCAGTGTAAAGACCTGAGAACAGGTGTGATGTGCTCTGATTTTCTGGTTCTGGTCAGAATCCTGGCAGCAGCGTTCTGGATGAGCTGCAACTGTCTGACTATCTTTTTGGGAAGGCCAGTGAGGAGTCCGTTACAGTAATCCACCCTGCTGGTGATTAAAGCATGAACAAGTTTCTGTAAATCTTTACTGGAAACATAGCATTTAATTCCTGCAATGTTTTGAGATGTATGCTAATTTCTTACTGCTTTGACATGACTACTAAAACTTATATTTGACCTAAGAATAACACCAAAATTCTTGACCTTATTTTTGTTGTTTGACCATTAGAGCCAAGGTACGCATTCACCTTAAGAACCTCATCTCTGTTCCCAAATGCAATGACTTCAAAGAATTTTTTAATTTTTACAATATTAGATTAGAACTTCAGAGAAGCAACACTGTACATATGTACATATACCCACTCAATCACCCTCCCTCACCAGAAAAGGGACAACATATATACATATTAAAATGCCAGGTGTAAATGAGAATGTGTTTTCTTGTCTACCTGCGATCCAATTGATCAAAACTCATGTTAATACCAGGTGTAAAGCATGCTTTAGATCAGTGTGACTCATAATGCCAGTAATAACAGTGATGTGAAGCTTGTCCAAGTCTGATACAGACATCACAGTGTTCAACAAATCAAAACAGCCTAGAGAGATTCTCTCAGCACAAGTTTGGACTAGAACCACTTGTCCGACTGTAGCAGAGGAGTTTTATTTGAAATAGTTATCTGAATTAAAAGGTGTGCTGTGTATACAGACTTTGACACAATCATCCTAAAAGCCTCTTGTGTTTTATAAACATAGCATACGGAAGATTCCACAACTTCCACAATTAAATCTGTTGTTTGCTCTTCTGTTAACTTTGACATCTGTAAGATTTAAAATTTTTTTTTTTTTTGGAGCAGGTCATTGGACAACACCACTGTTTTGCTCTGTTGACGATCAAAAAACCCCAAAAACATTTAAGGAGGATTGTAATAATGACCTTAAAATTGCTTTTAAATAAATTCCAGCCAAACTAAAAGAAATACAACCTATCCAGAAGAAAAGAATATTATAGGAAATACTGTAAAAATTTCCTTGGGAAATATTTGAAAAACTATTGCTATATTTGAAAAAAAGTGGTTTGTCTCTTATGACAGTGTGAACTTCAGCGAAACTAAAAAGAAACACAACGTCTCCTCTAAAAAACATAAATATATGGATTAACGCATATCAAAAACAGAAGGCAGCTTGGGAAAGCCCTTATAACATCTGGTGCCATTCTGCTGACTTCTAATACCTGGAAATATGTGACCTTTTCTTGACTAAAGGTCTGGATTCTTTAAGCTAGTTCTATTGCTTTATTGTAATCTGGTTTCCATTTATTTTTATACGCTGCGGTGAAATACATTTTATATGGTTATTAAATCTCTTTCCTATCAGATTGCTCATGTTTAAGCCAACGTGTTGGGTGGAGAATTACACTGTCTGTTGATATTAGAATCACTGACTGGTTGGAAGTGAGGTCTCGTCATCCTCTGATTTATCAAGTGTATAGTAGTGCTTTGACTAATGTGGACTCTTAAATTGAGTCAGTGTCTATGCAGTTGTTGGTTACTTACCTTCTGTGGTTCCATCGACTCCCATGATGCATTTGATTGCCCTGATGATCTGCTCCACGACAGGTGGCGACATGGCTGTAGCGTAAACCGCACTGTGAGAGTGACACCGCAGATAATCCACCAATTCCTGCAGAAAAAAAGAACAAACATGCAGTTCATTAAAAACATACTTCAACACAAAATTTACTTATAATTATATCACAGAAGTTCTGCCTAAAATAAATCCTGTTGAATTATGAGAAACAAACTTGTTTAAATTGCGACACTGTTAATAGTTTCCAGCAGAATCTACAGTAACTTATTGGCAGCAGTTCGTCATTAACTTACTGTAAATCAATTACAGCAAACAGACTGTATTTGTGTTTATACAACCATTTATCTAGCTCTATATTTATTTACAGCATTGTATGTATATCATTACTGTAAAATACACAGTAATTTTCACAATGCAACTTTAAAATACAGTAACATACTGCAAAACTGTCCAACAGTAAAATATAGTTCATATTACAGTTAAATACTGTCATTTACAAAAATTGTTTACAGTGCAACTTATTTCTAACTTAATTTAATAAAATCAATTCTAAAATATAGTAAATTAAATAAAGAAATGAATACTGACATTAGACTAAGTAATATATTACAATAATTTTATGGTAAATAACACTGTGCTGTGCTGGTGTAAAATAAAGAAAACACACATGGAGCACTTTCTGTTGTCTAGGTCTCTGTCAACAACTTTCCAATATGTATTTTTAGGACCAGAATAGACACCAATTTTGTATATTTTCCACCCTTTCTCATGTGAAAACCTTTTTAAATTCAGGTCCACCAATGTTAATCTATTTACTGTATGTGTTGTTGTCAGACAAAATAGACCCTTTTCACATTTACAGCTTTCTGAGCAGCAGAAGTCGTCATAGTTGTGTAAACTTAGAGCGAACTAAATGGTACAACAAATATTTTATTACAATACTATTTACTGAAATAATAAAAGAAAAATGCCATAATGGTGTTATCAAGACTTTCAGAAAAAGGAGAAAATAGTGTCGGACTGATGACAGCAGCCAGAGGAGAGAATAATGTCAAATTTTTTCTCAGCCCCAAAGATGCTGCATTACAAACACCTCGCAAGGAGTAATTTGTTTTTTGACGCAAAGATTATATAATACCTACATAAATAGATAGAAATTTTCAGGTTAAGCGTAATTAATTTATTTAATGCATTAGCAATTTACTTCAAAACAGGCAACAAACAAAAAATCCAGAGATAATTGAAATTAAAAAAACAAAACAAAACAAAACAAAAACAAAAGGAAGACATTCACAATACGCCAAAAACAGATTCATAATAGCTTACAATAGACAAAGCTTTTACATTTTTTACAGTTTTGAGAGACTTCATTAACAGTAAAAATCAAGATAGTAAATAACAGTTCAATGACTGTTAAACGCGTCATAACAGTCTTGTGAAAAGGGTCTGCACAAAGGCGGCACACACTATCTGCATTTTGATTGGTCAGCTCAACTGTCAATCAAACTCCAAGCTGAACAGTCAATTCGACTTTGATTTTACAAAGATTAATCTGTAAGTTTTAAGCGGAGTAGGTGATCCGTGAGAATTGTATTGTGCACTTGAGGTAAGATATTTAACCTCAGAGCTGAACCAGTAGTAAGCTATTTAAAATGCCACCTACTTGCAAGAGTAAATGAACCAAAACACTGTACAGTCCAAAACACACCACTAGAGGGAGATGAAACTACACTGCAAACAAACACTTACTGATCCACTCTTATTGACCACTTTAATGGCATAATTCACCCAAAAATGCGCATTTACTTACTATTTACTCTCTATTTCTTTATTCTGTTGAACACTAAAAATGATATTTTCAAGAAAGCTGGAAACATGAAACCATTTACATCCATAGCAGGAAAATCATATACTAAAAAAGACAAAGGTTGAATACAAACTCAAACTGATTTGGAATGTTAAATGAGAGTAAAAGATGACAGAATTTTTAATTTTGGGTGAACTAACCTTTTAAATATTTTAACTACAAATCACTTGACATAATGCCTCACATTTTGCTGTCTAGAATTTTTAAAATATGGTGTAATTTGTGTAATTCTGTACACAAAAAACACTAATAAAAATTGTGTGTGCACATATTTTAGGACAATTCTGCTAATAGTTCCAAATAAATTTAGACCTAGCATTTAGACCCCTCCCCCCTAACGTTCAGGTCATGCTTTCAGCCTTGGGTGGGCACCAATACAATGTTTTCCACACAAACAGAAGCTGTTGATCAGTGATGTGACGCATTCTGCTACTTAAACTATTTCTTCCAGACTTAGTTCCCAGTCGTTTCTGCATCCGTTAAAAGGCTCCATAGCAGCAGCCGATAAAGCTGAGCAGTCCAATCTCCAGCTCTTAATCTGTGTCCTCCGACATCTGCATCCATGTGGAGGGGCGAGGGGAGGGAGGCACATGGGCCTCTGCATCCAGATGTGTCCTCTACTTTGAGGACGGGGGCGATGGGCTTTTTAGAAGGGGGGGAAAAATCTGCAAATCAAACATCTGCTTCCACTTAGAGTGCAAGATCTGCAGAGCTTTAGGTCCTGGGAGCTTTGGGGAAACGGCGTAAGATAAGTCAGTTAAGAGAACGTGTCCGAAATCCACCCACATCTGTGGAGCGAAGGACTGGCTGGAGCCGTTTGGCCAACCTCCCACTGCGCCTGTGTACACTGTCCTCACAGCTGGTTTGCTCTGCAGCTTCTGGGCACCATTATTAAAAATAAACTGTCAATCTTACTGAAGGGAATATGAGTTTTTTTTTTTTTTATTATGACTAATTATGATTAAAAAGTAGGTCTGCATAATACATTGTTTAAACCTCAATATTGCAGAGTGTGAATTCTAGTGGTGTAATGGATCACAAATCTCAGAGTTTGGATCACACTACGGTTTTTGAGTCACAGATCGGACCATTTTACGGATCAGCTGAAAAGAGAGGAGACAAATGTCAAAAGCTTTCCATTTATACAAAAATATTACTGCAAAAAAAGCATTGGTTTTAACAAACAGAACTTAGAACCTGTAATTTTATTAAAAAATAAAAATCAAGAAAGAACCAGCTGACAAAAAAGGAAACTATTCCATATGAAAAATGATCTTTGCTACTGTTGCTGATAATGCTAAACATCTTGTACAATAGATCATATTTATTTTCAATTAATGATTCAACATTTTACACATAAAACTTCATGTTTTATTATAATTTTTAAAAACCTATTCAATGACATCATTTTGATGGTTGTTTGTCACCACCCATTGGTTATACAATGTTATTACTACAACATTCACCAGCATCAAGTTCCATTAAACTGTGATTTTAATCTTCACCATAAACATCAGTGTTTATATATGAACTATAAACTGTTCTCCCAGGTACTTCTGTAATATTTAATTGTTTGTAGCTCACTGAAAAAGTGTAAAAACTGAATCTCTTTCGATCAAACGCAGATTTAAATGCAGCGCTTTGAAGGATTAACAAACATATGCAGATAATTATTATTTATCATTTATGTTGCGCAGGTTTAAATTGAGATCACGCTGTTTTAATGTTTGATTGTGTAGCTTTACACTGAATGAATTATGCAGGCTAAACAAACAGTGACAGAAAACACCTTCAATTAATGACCTAAGAAAGCATTTAGATAGGTCCCACAACAACTTTTTCCATCATCATTATATTTTACAGGGAAGCCTAAATGCTTTCATACATATGATCTGAATAACGCGAGAGGCAATCTCTCTGCAATTGTTATAAATGTTGTATTAACCAACAAGTTCAAAAGTTATTAATCCACGAGTCCCGTGCGTTCTGAACTGTAGATTCAGTTACACACTTACACATTGAAGTGACTCCGCAATGTTGCCAAAAGTTGTATCATTTTAAAGGCTTGTGATTGTAAGCATTTCAAGTCTGTTTAAAGCACAATCATTTATTCATTTATTTTGAATCAATGTTTGTTTTAATGTCATATCAGCAACATTAGCTACATTCATGGAAACACCTGTATTAAATATTCAATTTACAATTTACAATTTACAATGCGACACGGTGGCTCAGTGGTTAGAACTGTTGCCTCACAGCAAGATGATCTCTGGTTTGAGTCCTGGCTGGGCCAGTTGGTATTTCTGTGTGGAGTTTGCATGTTCTCCCTGTGTTGGCATGGGTTTCCTCCGGTTTCCCCCACGGTTTAAAGACGTAGTATAGGTGAATTAGATTAACTAAATTGACTCTAGTGTGAGTATGAGTATGTGTGCGCGTGCATGTGAGAGTGTATGGGTGTTTCCCAGTACAGGGTTGCAGCTGGAAGGGCATCTGCTGCATAAAACATACACCGGATTAGTTGGTGATTCCTTCCGCAGTGACAACCCCTGATATATAAGAAACTAAGCTGAAGGAAAATGAATAAATTATTTACAATCGTAACACTGACACTGATTAAAAGTAATATAAGTTTCTTTTAATGAATGATATTTAAAAAGCATCCTGCAGAAGACACCTTTCTAAATGTTTCCCTTCATATATTTCCTGAACCCAAATATTCTCTAATATAAATTTTAAAATATTTATTCAATTAATAGATGTTTGGGAAAAGAAATGATAATGTCTGTAACTATTTATGTATGTATACGATAAAGACTATTCAGTCTTGTTTTACATTTGATTATTCATGTTGTCTACCTTCTAGTTTGCTCGACTCCCAGAAAACTGAGCACTGTTGATTTGAATTGTTTCTTTGCTCTGTTGTATTTATCAATGCTTATGATTTTATTAAGCCATAGCAATGCTATGAATTGCTCAATGTTGTTTTTTTTGCTTATATTATATTGTGGTGAAATTGCTAGGATATTAAATACACTAATGCTTTATATTTCATTATTTAAAGATCATGATTCTGATACAAACACACAGCAGTCCTAATCCTATTAACCGTAATTCACATATTTTTGACCTAGAGACGGCGGTTACACAACTGCTGCTGTATTCTTTTAATCTGCATAGTATAGTTCACCAAACATTATAATTAAAATACACTATTATGCCAGTACTTGGCAAGCAGCCTTTCAAATTTATATTTCTCACTAAATCATTCAAGAGATTTATTCAAAAACACTGATTCATCCAATAATAAAACAAGCGAAGCCTTCTCAAATCACTAGACCATTTAAAAATATATATTAAATGAAAAAACAAAAGATTTTTTATAATAAATGCTGTTCTTTTGATCATATTCTATTCATCTAACAATGCTAAAATCAATAACTTGTACCACAAAATAATATTAAGTAGAACTGTTTTCAGCTTTGAGGTCAGTATATTAGAATGTTTAAAAATTCAGCTTTAATATATAAATAAAAGTAATTGTAAAATTGTTAATTGTAAATTGTTAATTGTTAAATTGTAAAAAAAAGTAAAAACATTCATATAGAGAAAAGTTATATTCAATGCTATTACAATGTCAGTCAAATAAATGTAGCTTTGCTAAGTTAAAAAACGTTTTTAAAAATCCTATACTGACCTCAAAACTTTGAAGAGTGGTATAGATTACAGCCTAGTGCCATTTAAGAAGCATCCTGTCCAAACCTGCAATTCTGATTTGTGCCATAAAACTGACCTGGCAATCGTCCAACAGTCTCACCTTATTAAACAACTATTATTACACAACACATGTACAGGGTCTCTCTCTCTCTCTCTCTCTCTCTTTCTCTCTGTTCTCCAAAGTATCTGTAATTCAAAAAGCCTGCAGTCGTTTTCAGTCTTTTATAATCAACTGCCATGTCCGTGATGTGGTTATGAAGTGAAGTGGTCTTTTTTAATGGAGTAATGAGATGAGAGAGGAGGTATGACAGGACTGTGACTGACATTTGGGGAACATATGTAGTTTTACATCATGAAACCAGACCGTGTGTTTGAGTCTGGGGAATGGTATGCATGTTGAGTAAAGGTGGCACAAGTGATTTCTGCAGCACCAGCGTCACCATATGACAAACAGTAGCTCTACGGGTGAATTTCTGTGCAATGTTAGACTGACTTCTGCCTTTTGACTATTGATGACCTTGATGGTAAAGTATTGGATGTTACCCACCTTTTTGCCAGCAATGTACCCGCCGGTAGCCCCGAAACTCTTGGTGAAGGTGCCCATCAGAACGTCTATTTCTTTAGGGTCCACCCCAAAATGTTCTGTAACTCCCCGACCGGTAGGCCCCACGGCTCCAATGCTGTGGGCCTCATCGAGGTATAGATAAGCCTTGTACTTCTTCTTTAGCGCTATGATCTCTGGCAACCTGACGAGAGAGCCTTCCATACTGAAAGAAAGAAAGATTTCAGTTATAGTGTTTATAAAACAGGGTTGTGACTACAATTAAAATGTAAATAATAAATAAATAACATGTACTTTATTACTTTAAATAAACACAATTTGAACTGAAAATAGTCACATTTTACAATAAGGTTTCATTAGTCCTTATTAAAATCCAAATTCATAACATGAACAATTACTGTAAAAAAATGTATTGTTAATGTTAGTAAATGCTAGGGCTGCACAGTGCACAATATTAGAAAAATCTGAAATTGCGATATTTTATTTCTCTGCAATTTAAAAATTGCGATATGAATTCAATTTCACAGGATAGTTTGCTCTATTTGACGGTTTTCTGAGGAGTCTAACAGTATTTGGGTACAGAAAATGAATAATCACAATGCACAAAAAAAAAAATCACAAAAAATATCTCGATTCTAGTCCAAAAACCTAAAAATTGTTATATCAAGTAAGAATATAGTATAGCATATTGAGTTTTTCCTTAAAACAAGTACAATAATCGTGTTTTCGCTTTGAAATGTAGATATTGTGGATATGTTATGAAACAAGACAAAAATTCTAAGTGAGAAAAACTTTTATTTTTTTCCTTAATCATATAAATTCCACATGAATGCAGTAATTAAAAACAATTCTGTAGATGCTGGCCAACTATAATTCAGACTCAACATTGAATATCTTGTGATGTGACTATTGTAGACGCGCACGTTGTGATATCGATGCTAAAACGATATATTGTGCAGCCATAGTAAATGCAATAAGTAACATTAGCAAATACATCCATTCATTGATTTTCTTTTCAGCTTAGTCCCTTTATTAATACGGCGGCAGTTCATTTCTATTGTTAGGAATGAACTGCCAACTTATCCAGCAAGTTTTTACGCAGCGGGTGCCCTTCCAGCCACAACCCATCTTTGGGAAACATCCACACACACTCATACACACACACTCATACACTACGGACAATTTAGCCTACCCAATTCACCTGTACCGCATGTCTTTGGACTTTGGACTTATTTTTTTAATCTAGTTGCCAAGTTTATTTGTTTCACTTTCATTTAGTTTAACTTGAATATATCACAATAGAGCTTCAATATAACCAAAATAAAAAAAAGTATTTGCATTTTATTTTCAAATAATGCATTTAATTTTTTCTTTTTTCTTTACAGCTATTCATTACTTTTAATTTAGTAATTAATTTAAAATAGTATGAATCTCATTCGTATACTTTAGTATGATTTGCTCATGTCACCAGTCATGATTTCACCAAGTAGGACATGCTCCTGGAATAAAATCTATGTTGATCGTGAAACAACGTTCTAATCAGCCAATCAGAATTAAGGGATACGTTTACAATTTATGTTAAGTTTAGGCTTATGGTTAGGTTTATGCACTTCTACATGATTGTTATCCAACTATTACTACCCTCTGAATAATTGGGAATAATTTACAGTTATGGTTAAGTTTAGGGGTAAGAAATGGGTATGAAGTACATTTTCATACAAAAATGATGTTCCAGGATCAACATAAGTGCTCAGAATATATAACTACACCCTCACAAATCTATCTTATGAACAGAAGCTATACAATATTATTTTTGTAATCTATATTAGATTAGTCAGTGCTGAAGCCAAATCTGGACGTTTTAGTTTAGTTAAGTTTGTAAACTTTATTGTCCCTCAAGGGGAAATTTTCTGTGGACTCACACAGCACTTCAGCAGGTTCTGACACAGTAACAATTAAAAATAAATAGTTACATAAAATATGTATTGGTGAAAAAAATTGAATGAACAGATACATGTTCATGTCATGTGTACTAAAATGTACAGGTATTTTTAGCACAAATGACTTTGTATCAGTATTTACAGTTGAAGTCTGAATTATTAGCCCCTCTTTGAATTTTTTTTTCTTATTTAAAATATTTCCTAAATGATGTTTAACAGAGCAAAGAATTTTTGACTATGTCTGATAATATTTTTTCTTCTGGAGAAAGTCTTCTTTGTTTTATTTCAGCTAGAATAAAAGCAGTTTTAAACCTAATTAAGCCTTTAAATGTCACTTGAAGCTGTATAGAAGTGTCTTAAAATATCTAGTCAAATATTATTTACTGTCATCATGGCAAAGATAAATAACTGGGAGCTAATAATTCAGGGGGGCTAATAATTCTGACTTTAACTGTAAATACATGCAAATTAGCCTCATGTATTGACCAAAACATTACTATTTTTTTTGTATTTTACATAACTAATTTAGGTTAAAATGGATATTACATTGTAATATTTAGCATGATAACAGCATAATAATAATCATTATACCCATTATGCCTTATAATCCATAACTTTTTGTGTCTCTTTTTTTTTTCCAAATAAATAAACCTTCGGTACTCTTAGACAGTAGTTCTAAGAAATCCCACTTTTGTCTGTGACAGCACAATGCACTCTAAATGGTTTGATCTGGCTACCTTGTACAGGTGTGGTTGCAAGTTAGTGAATCATTCATAATCTTTTATAATCCTGCGTGAATTTCATATAAAATTCATGAAGCTTCAGTGTTCACAGCACAGCGAGCACAGATTTATGCAACAAATGACCTTACAAAAAAGTGTTATCAATGCTTAAAAGCCTGAAAACGGTCACGCATCCACCACTGAAGACTTTGGCCTCAATAAACCAACAAATCAGAATAACCCAAAGAAATGAGAGCAATAAAGAGGCACTTCCACTGCATCCAAAAGAACTGCCACTGGTTATTTAAACCCTAAGAGATAGTAAATCTCTCTCTCTATCTTTTATTTATTTCTTCTTTGTCAAGTAACCCAAGCTATAAGTTAAGCTGAATACTAATTTATTTATTTATTTATTTATTTTGCTTTCCTGCTTTATTTCATGCAACTGCTTATATTAAGAATGGACTAAATATAACCGAATAACATCCACGAGCGTTCTGACCTGTAAATGCCCTCCACCATTATAAGAATCTTCTTCCAGGAGCGATGGGTACGAGGCTGCCCGGAGCAAATCGCTTCCTTCAGCAGCTTTTCTAGACTCTGCATGTCTGAAACCAAACACAAAACAAGCACACTGACATAATCAGCTAAAAGAAATACACACCCTTAGTTGGTATTTTTTCCTAACCAAACAAAGAGCTTTCTTCTTTATGCATCTTCCCAATGCAAACAGAATGAGACACTTATAAAGGTTTATAAAAAGGCTTGGTTATAAGAAATGTTCTCGTGCTGATCATGAACAAAAGAAATATGGCTGTATGATTAGATCTAGACTAGAAGACTAAGCTCGTTACAAATTGCAAACAACCGATCATGCTTCTAGATGCCTCTAGTGCATGTGAATAATGATAAGGTTTTGGTATATATACACACTGCAAAAAAATGTTTGTCTTACTTTGTGTTTTTGACTTGTTGCAGAATTTAAAATGTATAAAATATTTGAATTTTTTTTTCAGAATATGTGGTCAAGATAGGTGTTCATTGCCCTTTCCCTAAACTTTACCACATTAGCAGACAATTTGGTACAAAAAATTGCCAAAAAAAAAAAAAATTACTTAATTTTGATCATGTAAAAAATTTTGTTTACTTGACTATAAAATTTTAGAATTTTTTTTTTTTTTTTTTTTTTTTTAGAAATTTTGACTAGAAACAAGACAAAACCTCAAAGTAAGAAAATCAAAGAAGTCATCAAAATAGTTTTTTTTTCTTAGAAAATATAAACTTTACTTGGTCCTTTGGCAGACAATCAGGTTTGTTTAAAAAAAACTCACTTAAAGGTGCTGTTTGTAAGTTTTTGACTCTTCTAAAGCATACAAATACCATAATATGTTTGCAGATATTTAAAAAAATAACATGCTAGGAGAACATTCTTGTTTGTCTGAAAAACAATGCTAAAAATCAGGTATTCTGCTTTGAAAATAGGCAATCCGTGCCAGAACGCTGTCTTTGTTTTGGCTCTTTGACTAGCCCAATGCCAGTTTAGCCAATTATATTTCAGCACCCCAGGTTGCCTTGGTGGAAAACCACATATTTCATTAAATCATTCAGATAGACTCTGAAAGCATGCGTACCTGACTGAAATGCGACCTCCAGTGGACAGTAACAGGCTCCGAAATGCGATGCAAATTTAGAGTTCCACATAAGGTCATTAATAAGCAAATAATATAAATATTACCAACATAAACATTAGGTGAGCAGGTTACATTGTAACCCCGTGTCAAAACATGCTATGTGACAAGATTTGCAGTGATAAGCAATTTGGCACCAGACGAAACACGACAGGCATTCAGAAGCACAGAATATGCACTCACTCATGAAATAGTAAAGTGTATAGTCTAATTAATAAATATTAAACCTCTTTAACATTATTAAATGTACATATGTTGGTTTTGAGTCATTGTTCTAAAGTTGAATTTTAAACGATTTATTTTATTTTCAAGATCTGAGGTAAACCATCTGCTGCTGCTTTCAGTAATATGGCAATAAATGTAATGTAAAATGCATTCAAACTCGCATTGAAAGCATTTAACACTGAATGAAGCACATGAGGTGTACCTGAGGTGATCATTGTTTTCTGCTGTTCAGCTGCAAGAAACAGAAGCCGTTTCTAAAATATCAATTTGAGGTGTTGGTTAGAACAAAAACTCTTTTTAATATGGAAAATATTGCTTCTTTTGCGTGCTGTTGCTTTATTTAGAACACGATTTAAATCAGCCTTTAGGTTCGATAGTCAGACTCACTCCTGTTGGTCAATCTGGCAACCTGCGCTTCCTTTGTTTTGATCCAGGAATGTAATACCTAGTTTAACCACTGTGTGTCAAACTTACATATAGCACCTTTAATTTTGATGATGTAAAGAAATTGTAAAAAATGTCTCATCTAAAAAATGCTGCTTGATTTAAGAATTGTTTGATATTTAGACAAAACCTCATCGACCTAAGTCATCAAAATAGTTGTTTTTTTGCCTTAGAAAATCTAAACTTAACACCCTATTGGCAAAAAAAAGCTTGTCTTAATAAAAAAAACTTAATTTAGTTTTTTTTTCTTGTCTAGAAAATGTTGCTTGATTTAAGAACTTTAAGATATTTGGGCTACAAACAAGTCAAAAACTCAAATTTATAAAAGCATATTTTGCCATGCAGGACTACATTGGTGTTTGCTAATCCATGTATTCAAAACCTGAATTGAATATGTCACTATTCCCAGAGTAGGACTAAAAAAAAAAAAAAGATGTCAAATATATACAAAATAGTTGCCCTACATCACCAAAATAAGTCTAAATAGCTGTTTGTGTATGTGGAAGAGTGTTTCTTTATCAGGTAAATTACTTGAATTCAATGATCTGATTTATTACAGCATGAACTTGCATAAAACAAACATTAACCGAAGCTAAATTGCATCTTACTGCAAAAAAACCTTTCCAATAATTGTATCCTAGGGGGAATGACTGGCAAAGCCTGAAGCATTGAAGGAAAGGGAAATAAATTACAATGATTAATAGTGATGTTATGTGAAACCGAGTTCTAATTGCACACTGGGATATTCAAGGGCACTATTATTGGTTGGTCCCATTTATTGTGTAGGCCCAAATGCATGAGTGCATTATGTAAATAAGCCCAAAAACACATTATAAACAACTAGCCCAAAGCTTCTAATAAACAGACATTGTAATGTTACAAACTGGCCAACAGATGGCAGAGTTGAACTACAAACTGGATTCTGACCTGTGTCACATCCTGGTCTCATTCCTCCACTTTTACCCTACAAACTTCTCCCCTTCCCTTCTATCTCCATGAATATAAAGTGACAAAAGGACCAAAGAAAAGGCTGTTCCATATAGTGTCTCATTAAAGTGGCCTCATTTCAAACAGGTGGACATATTTAGGCCAGTGAAGGCCAATGTGGACACAGCCTGCTTTCTTTATCCACGCAGTCCTGAAATACACTCACCTAAACAAAGCTTTCAGGCCAAGAACAACGTGAATAGGAAGAGTGACACGTGAAATCGGAAGGTGTGTGGGCCTAAATGTCAAACTCTGCCTTTGTTTACATTTGTTATGCTGTCATGCAGGTTGGCTATGGACGTTTGGAGTCAAAACTTTTTGGTGTGCAGTGGAAACCCCCCTACTCACTTCAAAATGTACGTTACTCAAAACATTTGAAGTGAAATGACAAAATTTGATTTTAGGTTTTTTATTTTTAAAATGCTCAATTCTTTCCTTCACCAAGTTCTTATATAATTAATGAAGCAACAAAGCTAAAACAAAGGCCCTCTCCGAATATTCTGTGTCTGCAGCACATTTAGGGAATTTAAAGGTTCAGCGAAATTAAAATCTAAAACATGAAATCTCTTTTAACATCTAAAACGTTTTTGGATGTTAGTATCAGTATGTTAGTCTACAAGGATCTCTTCAAGCTATCCTCATACGTCAGTTTTTATCAAATATTGACCAATCAAATGCACTCTACTATCTGTCATGTCCCACCCCCTTTAAGACGCTTCTCATTTGCTTTTCATTTGATGAGCTTAAGCTCAACCACTTACACTGGCAAAGCTGTGATAAAACGCTATTGGCTGTTTTATTTAAAAGAGGAGGAGCTGTTCAATGTCAATCCAATGGGTATAAGCAGACACCAACAAGAGAAACTTTAAAAAAAATGCTATAGTCTGCTTCTGATTATGTATCTTCCAGCAGGATTAATGTCAAGTTCCATCTTTTGACTTCTGAACATTACGCACTTATCTACAAATGATGGATAACACTCAAAGTAAACATTTAAGGGAAAGTTCATCTAACAATGAAATTGTGCTGTTAATACCCTCAGGGTATTCAAAATATAGGTCACTAACTGTCTTTCGAATATAACAATTATACAGTTGAAGATTTTTAGCTTAAACTAGTCCTCTGTGATTCATAAAATATAAGTCAATGGCTACCGTCACGTTAGCTTAAAGGTGATAATTTTGTAAATAACATTCAGTTTATTTAACAGACTGACTGTTTCGCTTAAACCCATCCATCTAAGTCTGGTCTATAACTGCTGTGCACTCAGTTAGAATGTTTTGCACTTGAGCGCCACCAAGTAGTGTTTTACTGTAAAAGCTCTCGGCATGTGATCAAAAAGCATATCTCATTGGTTGTCCAGTTTTTAAAGTGGCAAGTCATATATTACATTCATTTATAGTAGGGCTGCACGGTGGCACAGTGGGTAGCACGTTCGCCTCACAGCAAGAAGGTCACTGGTTCGAGCCTCGGCTGGATTAGATGGCATTTCTCTGTGGAGTTTGCATGTTTTCCCCATGTTGGCGTGGGTTTCCTCCGGGTGCTCCAGTTTCCCCCACAAGTCCAAAGACATGTGGTATAGGTAAATTGGGTAGGCTGAAATGTGTGAATGAGTGTGTATGGATGTTTCCCAGTGATGGGTTGCAGCTGGAAGGGTATCCGCTGTGTAAAACATATGCTGGATAAGTTGGCAGTTCATTCCGCTGTGGCGACAGTGTCTTTGAACTATACTATAGTAAAGTCCACCCACTTCAAGACGCTTCTCATTTGCTTTTTATTTGATACGCTTAGCTCAGTCACTTACACTGGCAAAGCTGTGCTAAAACGCTATTGGCTGTTTTATTTAAAAGAGGAGGAGCTATTCTATGTAAAACTATAGTAAAGGCCATTACACTGTATACATTTTAGCATTTACAACTCTTTGTTTATGAATAGGGTGAAGCAGTGGCGCAGTAGGTAGTGCTGTTATGAATTAATAAAGGGACTAAGGCGACAAGAAAATGAATAAATGAATGAATGAATGTTAATGAATATTACAACTAGGGTTGTAACAATATACCGGTATGACGGTTTACCACGATTTGAACGTGCACGATTATCATACCATGAACAATTGCATATTAACGGTTTTAACCCTTAAAGACCGAGACAGCCGCCCGCGGCTAAAAATAAGTATTGCTCTTAAATGTTTAATAACTTTTGATCCGCTGATCCGATTCATACAATTCAAAGATTGGCATAAAGAAGATAATCTCAGCTTTCCAGTGCTGTATCACATAACATTCGTGGATCATAACATTCCTTTCAGAGGCTCCGGAATCAGTGCGGTTACGTCATCAACATTTGACAACGCTGATTTGACAAAGAAACGCTCGTCACTGTGTCTCCGGACAAATCAGACATGATACATTGATGCATTATCCCTCCTCCATGCCCAGATTGGTTCAAACTCGCTACATCACAACCAATAAGCATAGGTTTCGCTTTTGTTTGTGGACCAAGCTTTTTGAACAACACGGAATGAGAGAAAGGCATACATTTATGCGCGGCTAAATAAAACGCCAAAAAAAAAAAGTTTTGCATGAAATAATTCTCATACTAAGTACTTTTGCATGCACAGCAGCACAGAAACATGACAAAACAGTGACACAGCAAAGACGAACTGCTGCTCTTGCTGTTTTCAAAAGACACAAATGAAGGTGCAGCTGTTTGTCTGCATTGCAAACAACCATTTCCAAATCCATATCCACAGACAACCATATCCATGCTGGCACATAAAACCTAAGGATGTTCCATATTGAATCTAGTTTCGATATGTAACTATTTATAGTATAGTAAATATTTATATCTATTTTTTACTGAGGATTTGCACCATGTTTATTTGGACTTTATTTGGACTTTGACACATTATTTATTATTTTCTTATTTTTATTTGTTCATTGTAAGTGGTGTTGTTTATAGTAACTAAAAATATATTATTTGGAAAAAGTCAAATTTGCTTCACTGTTCTATTATTTTGTAACATTTGTAACATACCGTATACCGCGAAACCGTCAAACCGTGGTATTGTTTTAGACGATTATCATACCGTGAAAAATTCATACCGTTACAACCCTAATTACAACACACTGTAGTATCAACTATAGTAACAGATAAAATGTAATACATTTTACAGTACAAATACTTTTTACTACAGTAAATTGTGGTGTATTATAATGTAGTATAATGTATGCAATAGAAAACTACAGTATTGGGTGATTAGTTTATATTAGTATATCAACTATAGAATCACCACAACAGGTTATTCCAAGTACTTTACTACAGTATGGATCAAAAATACTATAGTATTTACTATTGATTACTATAGCATTTTTTTCATGTGGGAAGCCTGGATTTCAGTTTGGTTTGTCTGTATATTTTTGGACTCAAAGTCACTGACTCTCACAAATCTTCATGGATACCTGAAAAACAAGCAAAATACGCAGATCTACCACTTAAAGGCTAACACAGGGCAGGTATTTGTCAACAAACATGTCCTAACAAATAAATTGCTATGCAGTGCAAACACTTATTCCGCAGATGTACCTGTTTAAACAAAGAGAATAATTTACTGTGTTTTACACTCCTGCTTGCTAAACAGGTTGGATTATGATTTAATAATGAACTTTGACTCACTGATGCATTTCATTTACTTTAAAGTAAATATTTATCATTAGTGTATCATATCCACCCACAATACATCACACACCCGTATCTGAACTAAAATAGAAGTGCCTCTGCAAGTATTTCCAACTTGGAAGTGCACTTTACTCAATAGGAAACCAAATACAGCATTACTTCTCACCATAATCAAACAAACCTGAATCATCTTTTGTGCTCAATTTGAACAATTTGCCAAGAGAAATGGAGTTAGGTTTAAAAAAAATACTTTTTCGCTTGAATCAAGACCATTTTTAAATCAGTGGCACACAACCTACTATTGGCCAGATGCTGTAAGAGTACATTGAAGCTTTTGTTGTTCATGCATCAACTATTCTCATTGATCCTCTGGAGAATGATGCGCTCAAGTTCTTCAGTAGCTACACAAGAATGCCATTAACCACTATGGAATCCCTAAAGCACTGCTAATATAAAACCCAAACATAGCCCGGCGCAGGCTAATGCTTAAATGTAGTTACTAACCATTAAGGTGATGACCTCAGAATTTACAGACGCTGAGTAGTTGTGTTCATAACTGAACACACTCAGTGACCTGACATGTATTAATATCATAATATTGCGAACATGTACTCACTGTTGTGTTTGAAGACTCGAATGGTTGCTCCTGACAACCTGGCTCCCAGAATGAGGGACGTGTGATTTAGCTCATCGCTCAGGATCAGACAGCCCTGGAAACAAGACATATGTTACTTTATGGCTCTGAACACATAATGAATCAGCAAGCCGCCAATAACGCGTTGTGAGGTTCTATTCAAAAGATATTGCAAATATATCACAAACAGTTTAGCATATGGCACCTTTTAAAATTTGGTGGGGGTGTACAGAAAATACAAATGTCATACAATTTAAAGAACAAAAATAAATATTTCCTATTAGTTTTCACTTATTATACAGTAAGTTTGTTTTTCCCTTTTTCCCTTTAATTATTTGTTGGTTTGTTTGTTTTTCTCTAATCTTATATCCTCTATTTTTGTTATTGAAATCTTAAACTTGGAATTGAGCTCATTTATTTTGAGCAGATTTAATTAACCACAAGTTCAATCCAGTCACAGCTAGGGATTGATCAGTCTGGTTCCAGATCCACTTCATCACCTTATCATTCTAGCACAAGCTAAATATTAGGGGTGTAACAGATCACAGTTGATTCGTGATTCGTACGGTTCAAAACACACATGGCCTGCGGATTAATAATTTCTTTTTTACTGGTTGACTAATCCTAAATTTGTAACGATCACAGAGAGATTGCTTCTCACGTCATTCAAATCACATGGATGAAAGCATTTAGGCATTCCTGTGTAATATAATGATGGCGGAAGAAGTTGTGGAAGGTTATTCGGGATGTGGTGGGTTTCATTAAAGGTGGTTTCTGTTACTACCTGTTTAGCCTGCATCAATGCATTCAGTGTAAGCTGTGAGATTAATCATTAAAAGTTCAGGATCTCAACACCCACACAACATAAATTATACATGATTGTGGTCCAAATTCTTTTATTAATCCTTTGAATCACTGCAGTCGGATCCATGTTTTAAAAATGCAAAAATCAAGAAAGAGAATGAGTCTTTAATCCTTTAAGTTAGTTATGAAGTTACAAACATTCAATTAACACAGAAGTACTGGGATAACAGTTTATAGTTTAGATAAAACCAGTGATGTTTATGGTAAAGATTAAATTCACCAACTTATGCATTTAATGACGCTCCAAAATGAAAGTTGTAGGCAGCAACTACATTATTTAACCAATAGATGAAGACAACCAGCCATCAAAAATATGCCACTGAATAATTCTTCGAAAAATAACCCATCTAGCAATGAAACATTTGGTTTGAGTGAATAATTGAATCATTTATTGAAAATGAGACTAAAAATAAATATGGTTGTACAAATTATGTTAGATTTCTACATTTAGCATTATCAGCAGCAGTAGTAGCAACAGTGAATTGTTGACAGTACTGAATATTTTACCATTTATTTTTATTCAGCTGATTATTTCTTCATTTCATTTTAAATAAAATGACAGGTTCTAAGTTCTGTTTGTTAACACCAAAAGTGTCTTGCTGTACTGTTTTTGTAATAAATGCAAAGCAAAGTACTTTTGTCTCTTCCCCTTTTTGGCTGATCTGAAAAATGGTCCAATCCATGACTAAAAAAAACAAAACATGATCCAAAGTGTGAGAATCGTGATCCGTTACACCACCACTAAAATGTAATAAAACATGCTAACAATGTGCTAGAACATGCTAACATCTTATATAAAGGCAGAAGTGTATTAAATTCTGTTTTAGATATGCTATATTTGTAACTATGTTAAATAATACTAACAATATACTAAAATGCAATATCAATGTTAACCCATGCTAGAAACATGTTAATGTGCTAAATCATGCAAATAATAAGCCACATCATCAGCAGTGTGTGCTATCCATGCTGGATATATGCTTGCAATGTACGGAAATGTTAACAGTGTAATGAATAATACTAGAATTGCGGTAACTGTATTGTAAAAAATGCTAAATGCTAGCATAGGGCTGGGTGATTCATCGAAAAGTAATCGACATTTAGAACCTATACCGATCAAATATTTCCAGGACACATTTTTCAATTACTTTTCCTACCATGTGGAGTCACGAGACCTCACTCTGTTAGGCTGAGGCAGGTTTATACTTCCGTGGCCACTCTACAGCCACATCTGATCTCTGGTCAAGTACGATGGATCTATTCTTGAGCCTTATTTTGCACAACATTGATGATGATTGTAAACTGCACCAGAGATGCCTTGAGACGGCATATTTTCCATTACATTCAAATTATTATTTACATTGGCAAGGCAAGGCAGGTTTATTTATATAGCACATTTCATACACAGTGACGATTCAAAGTGCTTTACATAAATAAGAATAAAAAAGACAAGTATAAGAAAATAAAAACAAATAATAAAAGTGATTAAAATGTGTTAAAACGGGTATTATTAATAAAATAAAAAAACAATAGTGTGATCTGTCGGACGTAGCACAGTGCTCATTCAGTAAAGGCACAGCTAAACAGGTGTGGTTTAGGTCTTGATTTGAATGAGCCTAATGTTGGAACATTAACATATTTGTTTAGAGAAAATGGAGGAAATGCAGAGTTTCAAATATTATTAACAGGATGTACAAGAGTTATTTTATTTAGAAGAAAAATTGTAATATAAAAAACATTGAAAAAAAAAAAAAAAAAAAGCAAGTTATTTAGGTAACGTGTGCTTTAATTTCAGTTGTTAAACATTGCTGTTCAATAAATAATCATTGGTAGTGGATAGTGTGTGTTTCCTTCCATATATATATATATATATATATATATATATATATATATATATATATATATATATATATATATATATATATATATATATATATATCACATACAGACCATGAGCATGCGTCAATAGTGCCGCCACATTTGTACAGTGCTTCCAGGACAAATGTCATTTAATTGCACTAGTCAACCGCAAAGGCAATGTGAAAATGTGGTAACGAGCAAACAAAGAAAACAAAGCACAAAGACTGACCATTTCATAGGTAAGATTTTACGTTTTTGAGATGATTTGAAAAGGCATACACCTGTCTATATAAAAGGTCACAGGGTTGACAGTGCATGTCAAAGCACAAGCTAAGCATGACCATCTTCCAGCAGCACAACGACCCAAAGCACACTACAAAAATATATAAGGGAGTGGCTTCAAAACAACTCGGTAAATGCCCTTGAGTGACCCAGCCAGAGCCCAGAACTAAATCCTATTGAACATTTCTGGAGAGATCTAAAAATGGATGTACACTGCCGCTTCCCATCCAACCTGATAGAGTTTGAGAGGTACTGCACATAGGAATGGGCAAAAATTTCCAAAAACAGGTGTGCCAAGCTTGTGGCATCAAATTCAAAAAGACTTGAGGCTGTAATTGCTCCCAGAGGTGCATCAACAGTATTGAGCAAAGGCTTTGAATACTGATGTACGTGTAATTTTTCAGGTTTTTTTATTTTTTAATAAATTTGCAACAATTTCAAAAAATCTTTTTTTACATTGTCATTATAGGCTATTGTGTGAAGAATATTAAGGAAATAAATGAATTTAATCAATTTTGGAATAAGACTGCAACATAAAAAAATGTGGAAAAAGTAAAGCGCTATGAATACTTTCTGTATGCACTGTATGTGTCATTGGCTCTTGATGGCCAGTCCTCCAATGCACATTGGTCTCACATTAATTTCAAAGGAGCGCTACCCTGTCCTAAAATGGTGGCTCTATTGACGCATTCCTTCCAATAGAAAAAAATAGTGTAGGTGACATCTAATGTAAATATCTTTGTTTTTTTAATTATTTTAAAATCAAATAATGCACTCTTCATTCAAAAATTTCTCACTAGTAATTTGTGAGCACATTTACTTCACAAAAGTGTGAGGGCAAACAAATAAAAATAAATAAAACAAATAATCCTTCATTAATCGTAATAGAGTTCAAATTAATTTAATTAACCGAGATTTTGATTTTAGGCCAAATCGCCCAGCCCTATGCTAGCAGCATGCTAAATAATGCTAGAAAAACACTGCCTGCAATATGTAATACATGCTAACAGTATAAATTGTGATCCATTACCTTTAATTTCAAACTATTTTAGGCTTCCTCAAGCTAACTTTTAAGTTTTCTTTCATTTTCCTTCGGCTTAGTATCGACACAGCGGAGTGAACCGCCAACTATTTCAGCATATGCCCTTCCAGCTTCAACCCTTACCTGCTTATTAGTTAAATCCACCCCTGCCCATGCAAACACTGGGACAACATGCAAACACCACAAAGAAATGCCGATTGGACTCAAACCAGCGACCTTCTTGCTGTAAGGCGATAATGCCAACCACCGTGCCACCCTACTTTTAAGTATTCCATTGACTTTTAAACCATGTAAAGAGAAGAGAATCAAAAGACTATTCTTATGATTTGTCTTAAAAAATACAATGTCTGCAAGGACTTCTGGGAACACTACCCTGAGTAATGACTTAAATTAAGTTACAGTAGATGTATGCATTTGGAAGACATTTTCTTCTAATGTATCTTACAGTGCATTCCATCAATGAGCCTTTCCCCTTCAGAGATCAACCCCCCAGCCTTAGTCTTCTTAATGTTGAATCTTCTGACATAAACTGCATGACAAAGTCTCAATAGCTGCAGAGCATAGTCTTATTCAACACTGTCATCTCCTCTTCACCTTGAGAGGCCTTGACCTGACACCTCCACCAGAAGGCAGAATTTGTTGGACCCTCTGCTTAACAGATCCCTCAAGGCTGCAGCATCATAAAGACGTTCCTTGAGTAAAATCATTCCCCGCAGCATTTTTCCGGCACTTTAAGACAGTCCTTCAGCCCTTTCGAATCTCCTCCAGATCCTCAGGTCTTCTCATCAGAGCTGGTTTTGACGACCACATCATTGAGCCCAGCATAAACAAGCCCTAATGAGACGCCCTAAACAAACGTTGTCACTTCTAACTATGCTCGTCTGTCAGATTGCACATTATTTTTTAACAAGGGTTTGTTTAATGTGCTGGTTCGTTGGCTTATTCGCTGGTGCGTGAAAAACTGTTTATGGTGGCAATTAATAGCAGACACCCAGAGATAACAGATTAATAGCACATTGCTGAGCTCACTTCAACAGATAAAACTGAATGATTTAAGACGGATGTAAAGAGGCACCATTGAGGATTAACTTTTAAATGCTGACCTTTCCGACTAGAGCTGGAATGTTCATGGAATTGGTTGCGAAACCCATTCCAAACGCCATGGCAGACTCCACACCCAAGAAGTCAGCCACGAGATGCTCCAGTTCCTCATGAATGCTGAAGTTACCTATAAAGAGATAAAGAAATGTATATATGGTAGTTTTATCAAAACAACTCTCCTTTTTGTTTCATTTTACAGTAAAAGGGAACAAGAAATGTGACAGGACTAAAGAATTGGAACCTACATGAGTATTGCAGCTCAACATGTAACGTTTACCAGAAATCAAATTAGAGATGATTTTGATACAACAATACAATGATTCACCATTAACAAAGCAAATCTCACAATTGGGATACTATTTACAGTCTAGTCAAAATTCATACCTATATCTAGTATGGGCATTTTCTGAGCTTAAACCCATGATTGTTAAGATACCACAAAGCAGTGCTCTACCGATCCATCTACACAACTGCCACTAAAGATGCCATATAATGTAAATCTAGATATACCTAAGCATAGCTGAATAATAGGAGTTCAGTACGTGAAAATAGCCATACTGTGAGCATCAAACACTATTGTTTCCTTGATCCCATGTGAATCCCAAGAGTGTAAAATCACAGTGAAAATCAGGCCAATTGAAAAATAAATAAATAAAACACAGACTGTTACATTGTATGGGGGATCATTAATATGCATGCACCAGACAGCATATGATTTTCTACAATTTTATCTAATAAGCGATTACAATTATAGTATTCCTCCTTATATTTTAGGTCTATTTAAGCTTATAGTACACTTATTATGTATGTGGGGCTCTTATTTTGGAAACGGGAAAGGCAGGATAACTAAAGCAAAAATAAAGGGACTTAATAATAGAGTTCAATAATATTCACGACTGTTTCAAACCCGAGCTTCTGATATTAATGACATATTCAGGTAATACAGGAGCATACAACAATTTTTGGAGAATTTATGAACTAAGCTATATACCTACTATGTAGATATCTGAAAACAGTTCAACTTAATAAATCTATACTGTATCCTAAATCTACACTATATCTGGGACCTTTAAAATAATAAAATCCAGGGCCACAACTCTCAAAATTGTAAAAAAAATAAATAAATAAAATAAATAATAATAATAATAATAAAAAATTAATAAATAAAAAAAAAACAGGAAGTGTTCATTAGAAGCATTCTGATAGGACAAAATAACAACAATAGTCCTCTCTCTACTCTATGAATGTAAAATTGCTTGCGGGGAAATACTCCCTACACCTGGTAAATATTTGACTAAATCTTTGCCTTCCACACCAACCATTAACAGGAAATCATAGATGTACGTTTGAAAAATTCATCAGAACAGATTATTTTCTGGCCAGAATTGACTTTAGAGGAAATTACTTCAGAATTTCATGCCTGTCTTCCACATTTCCAGACAGCACCAGCAAAAAGGAAACAAATGAGATCTGTCAGAACATGTAAGGTGAAAGGGTATTAATAACTCAGAAGGTGCCTTTAGAGACGGAAGACATAACTGCAGACATGACATTTGCCATGCTGTAAATCTTAAGACAAACATCTGATACTGTCTGATAAAAAGGTGACCTCATAGGTTAAATATAGATTGATCTATAGATATGTTCCATAAACATCTTCAGTGTTTTATTGTCACGGCTGAATGATGTCATTTCCCCTTCAAAGACCTGGTTAAATTGTGCTTAAATTTAGAATTTATTAAAGCTAAACAACATTATTGGAACATTTAGTTTATAACGTTTGTAAACATAAATGAGGCAGTTAACCAAAACTTTTCTTTTAATTTTCAAGTTTTATTATGAATTTAATTGTTAATTTCTTTATTAAATCATAAATTCTTTTGAAGAATATAGTTAAAGAATATCAGTAACCTTATTTTTATGATGATCAAAAACATAACAATCAAACAAAAGCTGACATTTCTTATTTATGTTCTCCAAACAAATGTATTCATTTATTTTCCTTCAGCTTAGTCCCTTATTGATTAGGGGTCGCCACAGCGTAATGAACTACCAACTATACCAGCACATGTTTTATGCAGCAGATGCCCTTCCAGCCACATATTTGGGAAATGACATGGTAAATATAAATCCTTGTAAATTCACGTGTTAAAATTCCCTTTGTTGTGGACACACCTATAATGTTACTCAACTGGAATTTGAATTGGAATGCAAGGGAGACAGATTTATTTGATGAATCATATAATGTTTCATATTTAAGAATAAGGATTCTTGCACAATTCAAACTGCTTGAAAAACAAAAGAATAGACTTAAATTACAGCAATTGAGTTTCTTTAAATTAAAATGAAATTGTCTTGAATTAAATACATTGTCCAATAACTTTTCATACATTAAAACATATAATAAGATTCATCCAAATCTACATTTAACCCATGTACATTCTTTGCTTAATGCAAATACCATAGAAATATATATATTTTTAAGTTTACCCTGCCATACAGATATACCCATCTGAATAGGCATGTCTGGTTCACAATATTTCCTGATCCCACAAACCCTTTTTTACCCATCATAATGACAAAAGATCATAAAGGTTTGACTGCAGGAAATATTTAATAACCTTAAGCAAGAAAAATCTTGCTAAATAGATTTCAAACAGTCAATAGAGCATGTACAAAACTCAGTGTTAGGCTGTGAGAAAACGCCTCTTCTTTTACATGATTCCCACAGAGAGCTTTGTGCTCTAAAACACCATTGATCACTCTGGACCTCCGATCATTCCCTCTCACAGCAGCAGCTGAAGCGTGATGTGTTTGATTAAACCTGAATCAGCCCAGCCGGCTTCACTGCACTTCAGCATGATAACTAAGAAGCTCGCTCTATACAGAGAAAACCCATAAGGGTCTTGACTTCTAACCGGCAGATTGTAGTCTAATGAAGTGAGAGATATTAGTGATGATCATAAAGATCTCATTCACCTACTGGCATGGTAAACATAACGAGAACATGTGCATAAACCAGCTATATTAAACATCTTAACCTGATTGGATTTAAATGATCGGCAATGGCACTGAGAACTGTTAAATGTATATTCAGTGCCCAATACAAATTAAAGGGATAGTTCACTCCAAAATTTTAACTTGCCATCATTTGCACACCCTTTATTTCTTTAAAACCTTTAAAAGTTTCTTTGTGCTAATGCAGATAAATGAAGTTATTTTGAAAAATGTTGGAAACATAACTATTGACTTACAAAGTATTTGACAGATATTGATGGCTACGGGTTTTCAAATTTCTTCAAAATATCTTCTCTTGTGTTCAAACACTCAAACAGGTTTGGAACCCTTTGAGGATGTGTGAATAGTGTAAACTCGATCAACATTATTATGACCAAACTAAATGGCTGATATTGACTATAAAAGTTAAAAATCATGTTGATTACTTGTTAAATAATGCTAGCAACTTATAATTCTTTGCACATGATTACTCATGCTAGAACCATGCTATCAACAGGCTAGTTTGTGGTAGCATCATGTTATTTTATGTAAGAAACATGCCAATAACATGCTTAAAATATTAATAATATTAGAAACACCATAGGAAAATGCCAACTCATGCTACGAACTTGCTAATTCTTACCATTTTAATCACGTTACACAAGAAAACCATCACGGTAACCTTGCAAACATGCTAAAGTTTTCACCAATTTGTCGTTTTTTTAGTTTACACATTGTCTGTGGGCCAGATTAAAATTAAGCAATTTGTTAAACACATAATAAAACACAACAGTCAACTTTTTCAAATGAAATGAGTGGTTAACTCAAAATTGACTGAAAGTTAATTCTACTTATTTAAAAAATGTTTTGAACTCCGCGTTGAAGGTAATTAAATACCTCATTACTTCAACTTAGATGGAGTAAGTTACTCATATTGATTAGTTTTTTACCTGATGGTTTGTTGCAATCGGTATCCTCAAACGCTTTCAGTTGCCTTAACTTATTGGGTTTTACAGAACTCAGTTGGTTTAAGTTCTCCTCATTTAACAGGTTTTACTGTGCTCAAATTGCTTCATTTACTCAAATTAATTAAGTTCACAGTACTCATTAGGATTCGTTTCTGAACTTAAATTGCTTGTTGCAATTGTTTTGCTCGAATGATTTGAGTTCCCATAACATTTTGGGTTTTACAGAGCAGAAACACCAAAATAAACAGTTTATATTTGGGTATACTCAAAATAAAAATTGTGAGCTCAAAGAATTGCTAAAAACTGATGAGTCATTGTGTAAAAAAGCATGATTCTCTGCACATGAGGTGGCTATGGTAAAAAAAAAAAAAGTTCAAAAGTTAACACAAGGGTTAACTATTCACTTCTGTCAGTAAAATCCACAGACACCTTTACTCTAAAAAGGAAACGAGGTCTTGTGCTTTCTGCATTAGCCTATAGATCAATAAAGGCTATTGAAATTCTAGTGGTGTAGTGATAAACATATACAGTAGACAATGCACAATGGTACAGCAGATAGGTCAGAGGCATGGGTAGCTAAACTTTTATTGGATCAAACTACTTTTTATTTTTAGAACAAAACCCCCACAGTCCAAAACACAGTCACAGTACATGGACTAAACACCCCATTTACACCCCCAAACAGAAAGACTTTCTTTACATCCCTACTCTTTAAAGAGCAGGAAAGGGGCAAATGTAATCAAATGTCTTATTTCCACTGAGCATTACAATTTAGTTAAAGACAGTGTGGTTCACCCTAATCAGGCTTGTTTCCCTTGCCAACGGTATTCTTTTGGTAGGCATGGAGTATGACACAAAGTTACGATTGATGTGATTCTCACTCAAAGAATAAAGATATATATATATATATATATATATATATATATATATATATATATATATATATATATATATATATATATATATATATATATATATATATATATATATACACACACACACACACATACATATATACATATATATATACACATACATATATACATATCATGTCTTTTGTGAACTCAAGTTCATTATTTCATATATAGACGTGCGGCAAGCACACACAAATATAGAGAGAAAGCGGCTCCACTCGTCCTTTCAATGCATTTTTAGATGTCTT